GAGGGATGGAGAGAGTCCCAGAAACAGCTACCATCTGGCAACCACGAGTAGACCACATTTCCAAATGGGGCTGACCTGCTGGAAGGAAGAGCAGAGAGACAAACAGACACGTCATCTCTGGTGGTATCACCGAGCCACTGGACCACACCATTCCTGAAGCTGAATTCTTGCCCCAGCCACAGCCAAACGAATAAACCCCCCTTTGATTGTTCAGTCCGAGTTGCCATTTTAGGGTCATCCTTGCCCCCTTTTTAGAGGCTGGAGAACTAGGGAACAGGGTAGCAAGCCATCTTGGGCCCGGTAGAGAGCAGGCACTCACAGGGCAGGTATGGATCATTCCCCTTCTATCACCAAGTATGAGAAAAGATGAAAGCTTTCAAGGTAAAACTGACTGTCACCACAACAGACATTCACCTTCAACAAAAAACAGGGATATGGAAAACTACAGTGAAATAGCACTTCACTCCCACTAAAATGGCTAAAATAAAGGCAGACAAAAGACAAGTATTGTTGAGGATGTGGAGAGAGTGGAACCCTCTTACACTGCTGATGGGGTTATAAAAATGCCGCAGATATTCTGGAAGACGGTTTAGCAATTCCTCAGAGTTAAACAGAGAGCTCTCATTCGACCCAGCAATTCCATCCCTAAGTATATACCCAAGAGAACTAAAAACGTAGGTTCACAGGTGCTCACAGCAGCATTATTCATAATAGCCAGAACGTGGAAACAACCCAAGTGTCCATTAGCTAATGAGTGGATAAACAAAACATGGTGTATCCGTACAATGGAATATTAATTCTCCATAAAAAGGAATGAAGAGTACGGATCCATGTTACAACATGTATGAACTTTGAAAACATTATGCTACGTGAAAGAAGCCAGTCACAAAACAACCCATGTTGTATGATTTCCAGAATAGGTAAATCCATAGAAACAGAAAGTAGCTTAGTGGTTGCCAGGGCCCTGGAGAAGGAAGGGAATGGGGTGAGTGCTAGTGGATAGCAAGTCTCTTCTGGGGATGACGGAAATATTCTGGCATTGGATAGGGGGATGGCTGCACAACAAGGCGAATGTACCAAAAAGCGCTAGACGGTACACTTTGAGATGGTGAATTCCATGTACGTGAATTATATCTTAACTTTTGAAGTACATAAATTACAAAAAAAAAAAAAAAACAGGAGTAGGAATGACCCATCAACCGTACCCCGGGGGATAGTTTTTGTTAAGAAACTGTATAAGGATGTCCGTCATAGTGCCCGGCACTCGTGGGCTCCTGATGACCGTTTACTAAATGAACAAACGTCTCCTGTGCCAACAGTGGACCGAGAGCTCACAGCCCAGCCAACCCTCTCCACGGCCCCACGGGGCAGAATCGTGATGTCACTTGTCAAAGAGGAAAAAGCTCCCGCGATGAAGGCCTTGCAGCGGGTCAGTGGTGGAGCCAGTATTCGAACCCTGTTCTGCTGGAAGCCAAAGTCTGAGTTCTCAGCTTCACACCAGTGTGTCCTGGGCTGCCCCATGTGCTAAAAAGGGGCCAAGGTTCCCCAACACAGGGTGGGAGCTGCATGTGAGCTCGGAGGCTCCCCTGGCCCAGGACCACATCTCAAAGAGCCACCTGGAGGTGGAGAGGAGACAGCTTTCTCCCAGGCTGGTCTTCACCTCCCTGGTATTCCTTGAAATGTCAACTATGCGACCACGGTCATTTGGAAGAATGTGGAAAGAAGGACCCTGAACTGAGTTCATGCCCCCGGCTTCCTCTTGGGGTGGGAGGGCTATAAACACTCTGCCTGGTG